ACCGCCCGCTTCTGGCTCAGCATGACGGGGCTGCAGGGGATCAGGTACCTGCGGGGGGGGGGGGAGGATGGAAGCGGGGCGGTCGCCTGCTCAGGCCCACGGGAGGAGGGAGCCCCGAGGGGGCTGAAGGCAGCCAGCTGCGCAAGCGGCCACCCTCCGGCGGAGCCCCCCCACTGGGCAGCGGCCCTCTCCTGCCCCTGCCGCTCCAGGCCCCCGGCCCCCTGGAGGTGCCCCCGTGGGAGCAGCCGGGGCAGCGGAGGGGACGGGCGCCCCTGCAGGAGCCGGGCTCGGTGGGGGGCGGGCGAGGACGCCGCGTGGCCCAGCAGCCGGCGGAGGGCCCTACCTGAGCACCACCTGCAGCAGGACGTCCTCGCAGTGGAGGCTGAGCAGAGTCCGGAAGAGGCTGAGGGAGACCATGCAGAGCTGCGGGGGGAGGAGAGGGGGGCTCAAGGGGGGGAGGGGAGGGCCCTTCCTTCCTTCCTTCACCGGCCCAGCAGGACACGGAGGCAGCTGCCCCGGCCCTCCAGCCCCGTCACGTCCTGGCCGGCTGCCGGCAGCTCTCCCGCGTCTCCTCCTCGGCCAGACCTGAGCCTTCTTGGCCTTCTGGTGCTCCCATTAACGCCCCCCCCAGGATTGGGGAGGGGAAGACGAGGTCTGGGCAGAGGGGTGGGGATTGGGAGAGGACGGCGCTTCCCCTCGGGGCCTGCAGGTGGCGCCCCCAGCACACGGAGGGCCCGTGGCTGCCGCAGGAGAGCTGCCTGCCGAAGGTCCGGGGCCTGCCAGCTTCTGTCCCCCGGGGCCTGGGGCCGCCCTCACCCGAGAGTTGCTGGCGATGCGCCCCACCAGGGTGTCGAGGATGGTGCTGTTGTCGTGGCGGTGGAGCAGGAGGAAGCGGAGGAAGGTCTTCAGCAGGGCGGTCTCCGTGACGCTGCGCAAGAAGAGGTCCAGGTAGGCCGTGCTGGCGATCATCTCCTCGATGGAGGTCTGGCAGAGGGGGAGGGAGCAGGCGGCTCAGTGAGACGCGGCCCCCTCCCTGAGAAACCCCCCCCCT